AACTATTAAGATCCATTATCACAGAGAGAGGGTTGGCGGGCTTCGGGGTGTTATGATGGCAACGACTGTGAACTCATTTAGACCAGACTTGACCAGCACTGCGCAGGTATAGATACATTCCGGAGCCAGTACATGCCCAGTACTTGCTAACAGTAACAGAAATGTGACCAACCGCCCAAGAACTAACAGGTCGATCAGTAGCGAAGAGGATAAAATACATTCCAGTTATCCTCTTTGTCCTTGGTCAGCTAACTAGTCGATGTAGGGAGATCCTCTTTCTTATCTCACAATTTTGAAGGCAAAACTACGAACTTTGAGAATCATGACCGTAGGACAGGAAAGATTCCTTAATGGGATAACCAACACGAATGATTAACGAAGACGATGTTGCAAACGCCCACACAAGCAAATACAAACATACAATAAAAAAATAAAAAAACAGGCTAACACAGCAAGACACACATTATGTACGACAATACGAATATAAGAAATACACGAAACTGAAGCAAGCCTTATTAGTCCAAGCAAGGCAGCTCCTGCTTGTGCCTAACCACTATCACCCCTGCGTCGGGAGACTTGACTACCGTTTCTGACAATTTGACTCCGGAATTCAATATAAATAAAGTAATTGGAAATGTAGTACGCTAGAGTCAGAAGTCTCATAATATTTAGTAATTTATATGTTTTCAAATGAGTGAGATCATGTAAGTTTTCATCAGTTACAAAGAAGATGAGGTGACTTTGGGAAAATAAAACATATTTAATTGTCTATTTTATTTTAAGGAACATTTATATCTTCAACATCTTATTAAATAAAGTAAAATAGTGATCTTGGCGAGTATAGTTAGTACTGTATTTAGAGATAGTTTATAGAAGGGTGTTGAGCGCGATAACGATTTAAAGGTAAAAATGAATGTTAGCAGTTGAAAAAAAGTACAAGAATATTTTTTGTTAATTCTCCATTATTGTCGCCGTACTGCACCTCCCGGAAACGTCTCCGTGGTCGTGCCGTGATGGTGACAGTGTTGGTCGCTCAAGTTGTGTTGGTCATTGTAACATAAGTGGAGGTCGCCTTTGTTGCCATATTTGCCCACTGTGTACGGTTCTACCCAAGATAGCTGTAAATAGCTGCCACTAATGTAAGGGGGGGGGTTCTCTCTTACCCCACTTACTCTGACCCCCCTTATCTTATACTCTTACTTCTCTTGTCTTAGTTCTTTCAATTGTTCTTTCTACTTACTTCAGTTCACTGGTTACTGCATAACCTCAGTTCTTTTGGTAGCATGGACGAGGGTCTAGGCACATGGGTATGGTAATTCAGATATCAAGTCACTTGGACAGAAATAAAGGTGAACTACTGTGGGAGAAATGAATACTCCTAAATACCTGTACTCTAAGAACAGGTTTATTAATATGAAATCAAAGGGAAAAAGAGATATTATTAACATATGTGCAACTCTTCGCTTTACTCAACTGCAAATGACTCAGATATTACACTCTTACTGCACACAACCTTACTGGTGTTACATTACATTACATATAGTTACATGACAACTCCTTGGCTTCTCTCAGGCCAAACCAAGTGGATACTTTGTCTTCTCCCACATTCCTGGTGATACATTTCATTACATACCAGGACCAGTTCCTTGGCCCTACTCACATTACATAGTTACATGACAAGTCCTTGCAGATTACTTTACTTCTCACACCTACTGGTGGTATGTGGCATTACAGTACAGTTACAAGACAAACTTACTTATGATACTTCACAGACTGGTGGTAGTGCATATGAGATGCATACACAACATACACGTTAATACTGAAACCAGCAAATACATGGGTATTTTTGGTAACAGGAGCCAATGGTAGGGAGAACTGAACTACTGGGGTCTTGTTATTGAGAAGAGACATCACCTCTCATAGATGGCACCCTCAAAAGCCAGCAAGGTTTTCCACCAATCAGGAACCAAATCCTGTCTCGTTGTTGTTTTTTTTAGTTTGCCTGTTGGTAACTAGTGGTTTGGTGGTCATCGAGTAAGCAATACCTTTATTTCTGGGCAAAAGTAACCGTTTAAGAGTCCCAGCCCCCCCCCACACACACACAAAAAATATATATATATATATACTGTATATATAGACAAAATTTAAAATTAATTTTGGAAGTTATAATTCTTTGCTCCCTTGTTGAAATTGGGTTAAAAATACTCCAAATAAGGAGAAGTAAAGGTTGGGGATGGTTAACACAGTCAGCTGTGTATTGGCCAAAACTGCAATACCAACAAGTGAAAATTTACCCTCAATGCTTCCATTTTGCGAAAAATATATTCTCATAAAAATAGCCACTCATTAACCCAAGTAATTTAAACAGTACTGGCAGCATCAGTGGTAACAACAATGGCCACCTCTAGTCTGGGTGGCCATTAGGTAAATAAGGTATAAACAAACTGGTGGGAGTTATTGCTTTACTTCCCCCGGAGAGTGTACTGTACATGTACTAAATGATTACGGTACTAAAATTGTTATATCTATTGCAAATACAGCTTACAAGAATCCCAGCAATGTAAGTTATATTCACCCAGGTCGTTTGGGTGGAAAATTATGAGAAGAGCTTAGTCATTCTTAAGGAATGATAAACACGCAGGCCTTCAGCGCCAACTGTCAAATTATATTGCCTCACCTCCCGCTCTCCCCCATCTGCCCAAGCCAGGGTTTCAGGCCTTAAGTTTTTCATATAATATCTCAGACTATAGGAGAATATAATTTGCATTGCTGAAATCCTTGCAAGACAGATTAATTTGAATATAAACGTCATATATTTTGCTCAAGCGATAAAAATTGTACAGTAATACCCCCGATTTACGCGGTCAATTGAACCCGCGGAGGTCCGCGTAAAACAAGAAACGCGTAAATGGAATAACAGAACATATGGGATTAATTGAAATAGAGACTGGGCCAACTCCCAAACTCCACTTTTTCGGACACAATACCGACACAATACCTATGTTGTAGTAAAAATAACATCTTAATTTTATGTATGCACACACAATTAATATTTAAGAGAAATACAGTCGCCAGGTTAATGTCCATTCAAATAATGGATTCAGCGCCCCCCCCCCTCTTCCCACGCTCGCTGGCTCCTCCCTCTCTGAGAAATGTTTGGGTGAAAACACTAGATTTTAAGGTATAGTAATAAATAATACCTCAGACTAAAGTTAGGATAATATAATTGACATTGCTGGATTCCTTGCAAGACCAGGAAAATTTTGAATATACATGTCATATATTTTGCACAAAAGATAATGTATTTGCTGTGTAAACAAAATTCTTGCATTAGATCAAAAATTTGTGTCTAATGCAAAATCCATGATGTTTACATTCAAAATGATCATCATATTGTAAGAATTCCAGCAATGTAAATTATATTCTGGCAGGGTAATTTGTATGAATTTTATGAGCTAAATAAAAAAATTATACTTCACCCGCGTATATGAGTAGATGCACCGCGTAAAGTGGGAATTCTGGTTCTGACAGGGTACCGAGTAAATGTAGAAACGTGTAAACCAGAACCGCGTAAAGCGGGGTATTACTGTAGTACATTAGTGTACAGTACTGTAGTACATTTTATAATATAAAGTTTTTCAACTGTATTTTTGGGTAGATTTACATAAATTTCTTCATTTATTTTTATCCATTTACATGCACACACCATACTAAAAGAAACGTAAAAGAAATAAATGACCTTAGTGGAAAGCTGGATACACATGTACTAATTTGATTACGATACTAAAATTGTTATGTCTAGTGCAAATTATAGCTTGTTTATATTCAAATTAATCACTATCTTACAAGAATCCCAGCAATGTAAATTATATTCACCCAGGTCATTTCACTGGCTTTATATAAAAGAGAAGCTTAGTCACTTAAGAACTGATATATAAACACACTTTAGACCTTGGGCGCCAACTGTCAAACGTACTACCTCACCTCCCGCTCCCCTCCCCCCCACGCTCCCTCCCTCCCTCTCCCCCATCTGCCCAGCATTGCTGGAATCCTTGTAAAACAGTGAATAATTTGAACATAAACGTCATGCATTTGCACAAGAGATAAAAATTAATCACCTGTATCACATTACAGTAGTGATTTAAGAGTAAGAGTGTATATGTATGTATATAGTACAGTATTCCACATACATGTAAGTATAAATACAAAGTTTATGTGATGATCGGACAACGTCCATTTAGGTTAACGTCATATTTCCAAGAACGCATCTAAGACGTTAACCTGCACATGACTGTACTGTACAATTATTTTTTCTACTGATAAAGAATCAAAATTGCAGCTACAAACATAAATGATACATTATCTCTTTGGTTCATAATTATGCATTTTCATATTTAAAAGAAGTAAAAAAATGTGAGGGTATTATGCAATGCTGGAGGTAAACAGACACAACCTTCCTTCAATTACTGTTGTACTTCACTTAATCATCATGGAGATGAACTTCTGTCTCTCCAAGCCCATTAAAGTATCTCATAACATCAATAGTTCTTTCAAATCTACAAATAAGTTTCTGTTCAATATATTTTTTCTCTTAGTTTGTTGCCAAGATCTGGCACTTAGCTAAACACACAAGAGTCTGTAAATTGATCTTTGCTCTGTTAATATTTTTCAATTGAGAATGAGTTCAGAGAAAATCTCAAAAGTGAAAAATGAACCATTCCTTTGATGTTATGCTTCACTAACAGCCAATGTTAACTATAAACTCACCCAGATACAACTGTTTCTGTCATGTTCACACTGCTCCAGCTTGGGGATGATGAAGTACAACAATATTTTCTTTTGATGAGGAGGAAAACACACAAAAAAAATATTCTTTAGCAAGATGAGTTAAGCAGCAAGGTTTATATACTTAAAAATTGTCAATGCATTACAATAAAAATCAGATATGCAATTAAAGTGCATATTCCATTAATCTTAAGGAAAATTAATGAAAGTCAATCACTAGACTTTTTTCATTTAGAGGAAGCATTGGTTAGTTCTAATATGTAAATAATGGAAAGATAACAGTCTATAAGTTCTCTCATTAAAATAATATTTAGCAACTTTCTATGAAATATGTTTCATCTTAAGATACTGTACTAAGCCAATCAACATAATAAAATAAGTTACTCGGCTGTTGTGCACTGCTGGAAGAATGCTGGGAACCAAAATGAAGCTGGGCGATCCTGGTCATCCCTCCAAGCAATACCCACTCTCAGCAGATGATCTAATGTTCGTCCTACTCGCTCTTGTGTCCAACCCAGACTTGATGCTGCAGAGCACACTGTCATATGCCCAACAGTTTCTGCCTGTACACAGAATAGTAAAGTTTATCAGCATTCAATGATTGCATACTTTATATTGTACTGCATATAAAAATATATCACATGGCAGTTTATGACACTAGTGTTAACCAATACAGTACATATTGTTTCATAATAATACAGTACTCATTGTTCTGGAGGAAATTTATACTTCTATGTACTGTAGTGATATCTCCATTAGGCGGAGGGGTATATCTGCAAATGAAATTAATGTCAAGTTGCCAAGGATGCCCTATAACATCTCAAGACCTAAGAGGAGTCAGTACACTAATGTCCTCTAAGAAAACCAATTAGAATGAGCATCATCTCCTGGTATAGTTTTGAAGAAGAAAAGGAGTGGCACTAATCAACATTCTCACATAAATAGTGCTGAAGCAATTGACATTCCAGCTATCTGACAGGCATTGATACTATAAAATAATTCAAGGTATTTAAACTCTGAGTAAATGGGTATGACTTTATGTCCTCAGTAATTAGTTACAGTACAGTAATACCCCGATTTACGCGGTCAATTGAACCCGCGGAGTAGCGCGTAAACCGAGCAAAGCGTAAATGGAATAACAGAACATATGGGATTAATTGAAATAGAGATTGGGCCAACTCCCAAACTTCACTTTTTCCGACACAATACCGACATAATACCTACGTTGTAGTAAAAATAACATCTTAATTTTATGATGGTATGCACACACATTTAATATTTAAGAGAAATACAGTCGCCAGGTTAATGTCCATTCAAATAATGGACTCATCTCCTCCCACCCCCCTCCCCTCCCCATGCTCGCTGGCTCTTCCCTCCTTGAAAAATGTTTGGGTGAAAACACTAGATTTTAAGGTATAGTAATAAATAATAACTCAGACTAAAGTTAGGATAATATAATTGACATTGCTGGATTCCTTGCAAGGCCAGGAATATTTTGAATATAAACGTCGTATATTTTGCACAAAAGATAAAATTTTGGCTTTTTAATCAAAATTCTTAAATTAGATCTAAAATTTGTAGGTCTAATGCAAATTCCATGATGTTTATATTTAAAATAATCAAAATCTTATAAGAATTCCAGCAATGTAAATTATATTCTGGCCGGGTAATTTGTATGAATTTTATGAGCTAAAACAAATATCTTCAGTAAATAAACAAATTATTATTCACCCAGACACTATCTGTCAATCAAAATACCCCACCTCCGCCCACCCCCCCTCTTCCCATGCTGGCTGGATTCCTCCCTCCCTCCCTACCCCTCACCTTCCCTCCCTACCAGAGAAGTGGGAGAAAACAGTATATTTACATTTTTAGTAATAAAGAATACCTCAGACTAAAGTTAGGATAATATAATTGACATTTCTGGATTCCTTGCAGGTCAGGGAATATTTTTAACATAAACTTCATATATTTTGCACAAAGGATAAAATATTTGCTTATTTTCATGATCTTCTTAAATTACATCTAAAATTTGTATGTCTAATGCAAATGTTAAGATGTTTATATTTAAAATGATCACCATCTTGTAAGGATTCCAGCAATGTAAATTATATATTTTATGAGCTAAAAACACATATATCTTCAGTAAATATACAAATTATACTTCACCCGCATAAATGAGTAAATTCACCGCGTAAATCGGGCATCCCGGTTCTGGCAAGGTACCGCGTAAATGACCAAACGTGTAAACGAGAACCGCGTAAATCGGGGTTCAACTGTATAAGAAAAAAATTACCGGTGGTTTGCCATCCTCTCTTTAACAATAAAAAATAAAGATTGAAGCACAGAGGTTTCATACTTGCTGGAGGAGTGTGGTGTGGTCCATAGAAAGTTCACCAGGGATGGAGTATATAAACTGAGAGGATCCTGTAGCAACAACCTCCATACCTGACCCAAGCACTCGTAATTTCTTTACTGCTCGCACAACATCGTCCCTGTAAAAAGTACAGTAATGCATAAAACTACAGGCTGTGCAGATTGTGTGGAACATTTACTATACTTGTCCTGGACAAGTCAGGGGCAGATCCAGGATTTCATGTGGGGGCACAGCATGACTGCCGGGCACTGCCAATCAACACAACTTGTTTCAATTTGTCTCTATTAGTAATACAGTCGGCCCTTAACATTCGCGGGGGTTAGGTAACAGAGATGCCCGTGAATGTTAAAAATCCGTGTACTATTGCTGCCCCCCCCACCCTAAAAAATCCCTGGCCCCCCATGTCCTTATTTACCGTACAGGTAGTTCTGCTATAACGCGATAATTATGTTCTTGTAAAATATCGTGTTATAGAAAATCGCGTAATAGAAATAACAGGGCTTATGGAGAAAATAGGGTTAGGTGCAGATTACTCGAAATCGAAAAAATTTAGTAGTTAGCCTAACACAAAGGATAGCACAGTCTAAATAAATGTTACATTCATATCTAATAATGAAATCATACAGTAAATTTAACACTTTACCTTGAAAAAATATGAATGTAACTTGATGGGGGAGAAGGGTGATTTTGAGGTTGATAACATCGAGCTTCTCTTCAAGTGTTATATCCTTTCTTTTACGATAATCACCGGGAATTCTATCATCAGAACGCTTTTTGGAGATATTCTTCTTTACCATATTCACAGTTAATACCACAAAATTGGAGAAATAGTAAGCAAAAATCGCGTTATAGCAAACAAGCGTTCGCGTTATACAAATATTGTTCCGAATTCATAAATCGCGTTAGAGCAAATTCGCGTTATCAAAACACGCGTTATAGCAGAACTCACTGTATATACCTGTGTGTAGTTCGAGTTTTTAAGACCAAATTATTTGGCAAAAATTGGGGGTCGACCTCTAAACGGGTAATAGTTTCGTTAGGTTGAAAAATATTTACCAGTAACTACCAGTAAACAATGGAAACGACGCACCAACACACCATCAGCTGTGAGTGTCGGTACAGTCGCCAGGGCAGATCTCTTGCGTCATCATAGCAACCCCAAAGTAGCCAAATCCGTGGTATGTTATGCACAGGACGATGTAAAACATAAAGTATTCATTTTTTAAAGTTTACTTATAGATACTGTACATAAATTTTTGTTCATTACATTTGAAACATCAATCTTTGTTAATTAAATTTGATACAAAAGAAAACTACGATACCGTATTTTCATTAAAATATTACATCACAATTATATTTTACCTTAACTGTGACTGAATGAATATATTCTCAGAAATAAATATGGAAATGTAATATTTTGGCTGAAATGACGTACATATTACTGTACAGTGGAAAGTGGGATAAAATTATGAAAACAATGACTTTCGCTTTCTTTCGTTGTTCAAAAGATTTTACCGTAATCGCTTTTCAAATGGTTTTCAGTTAAAAAACTGTTGTACTGTACTCGTACTGTATTACAATAATATTCTATCCTACCATTAGCCTTATAATCCCACAACTGAAAACCATTCGAAAAGCGATTACGGCAACATCTTTTGAACGAAAGAAAGAGAGAGAGTCATTGCTTAGCGTCACAATTTTATCCCACTTTCCACTGTAATACATACATCATTTCAGCAAAAATATTACATTTCTTTGTTCTCAGAAATAAATGGTAGTTTTGTTGAAATGTAATGTACAGTATTTAATATTAAAATGCAAAAATAGCTATAAAAACAATTAATACACCCGAAATATACTGGCTGGCATCTCCACTCGTCCCTGCTCCTACTCCCGCGTCCAAGGTCACCTCACCACTCCTCCCAACTCGCTCCCACCGCTCCCTCCTCACCGTCACTACTGCCGACAACAAACACAAATGTTTTGTGAATAACTGCACCTCCACTTCCTATGTACAGTACTTGTACTGAACTGTACTGTGCTGTGCATTTTTACAAACAATAAACATGGCAAGAAAAGCCATTAAAAAAAAGATATAAGAATTTCACTTTACTGTACAGTACCTCTCCTCGGCGACAGGGCGGGGGTTATCGGGCTCATCGTCACTCAATTCCATAACAGGTGGTGAAGTGGGGGCGACTGTGGATTCAGCTGCTTCCTCACTGCCGCCAGCGATTGATGGTGTTGAATCTCTCCTTCGGTAACCAAAGAACATGGTGATGGGGAGTTGTCGTCTCTTTCTTTTCATTTCTCCCATGATTTTTTGTATGGAACAAAAGCATCATCCATCCCTCGCATGAATTTCAGGGCACGCACCATGGAGGGGTCCATACTATAGGCCAGGTTTTTCAGTGCCTCAATCATCCTGGTCATCTCCCCCAACTTCTCCAACGTTATTTCTTGGTGCTCTTCCTCATCCTCTTTCCCTTTCGCTTCCTCTTCCTCTTCCTTGCCTGAGTCTACTAACTCCTGTAGATCCTCCTCGGTCAGCTCAATGTCGTGTTCTTCGATTAGCTCCCTAATCTCATCCTCTGCCATGTCCTGGAAGCCTTCAACAGCCACTTTCCTCGACAGTGCCAGGGTCTTTTTCACCGCCTCTGCGATGGCTTCGTCAGGAGAAAATCCAGTGAAATCTTTCACACATTCAGGCCACAGTGATTTCCAGCAGGCATTCACTGTCTCAGGCTTCACATCCTTGAAAGATTCAGCCACCAAAGATAAGCAGTCGGCAATGTTGAAGTTCTTCCAGTAGTGAAGCACATCCAGGTTTTGATCATGGTCTAAGGCTGAGTGCAGTCTGGCCATCACACATTTACTGTAGTTAGCCTTGAACGTCTTGATAACTCCCTGGTCCATTGGCTGGATAAGTGCAGTGGTGTTGGGTGGAAGGAACAACACCTGTACCTTTTCATGCAGCACCTCCACTGACTGTGGATGACCAGGAGCATTGTCGAGGATTAGCAGGATCTTGAACTCCAATCCTTTCTGGTGCAGGTAGCGTTCGACCTCTGGCAAGAAACAATGGTGGAACCAGTTGAGAAACAGGTCGCTCGTTGTCCAGGCCTTCTTATTGTACATCCAGAAAACAGGTAGCAAGCTCATGTCGCGGTGTTTGAATGCACGCGGTTTCTTAGACTTGTATATGAAGCCTGGGCGAATGAGGTGACCCGCAGCATTGCCACAAAATAGCACAGTGCACCTGTCCTTGGCTGCCTTGAATCCTGGTGCACGGCGTTCTTCTTGGGCGATGAAAGTGCGCTGTGGCGTCTTTTTCCAGAACAAACCTGTTGGAAAAGAAAATACTCGTAGTACACTCTGTACTATTATACATACAGTATACAGTATCAAAATTGGTATAAAAGTATTACACCACACTGTATGGTAAATCACTACGGAATAAAAATATAAAAGCTACTGTATAAAACTCAGACGCATTTATCCCGTTTTCTCTTACAACACAATACAGTACGTACAGTACAACAGGTATTTGAGCATTTTTAAGGTTAAATGTACAGTAGTAATTTATTGTCTTACCTGTTTCGTCCATATTCCAAACTTGTTCTGGCTTGTAACCCTGCTCCTCGAGTATTGCTTTCAACTCTGCTGGGAAAGTTTTTGCAGCCATGGTGTCTGCTGACGCAGCCTCCCCAGTCATCTTCACATTCTTCAGGCCAAATCGACGCTTGAAATTGTCAAACCACCCCTTGCTGGCTTGGAAAGGTGTCGGGGGTGTCTGAGGTGTCTCGGGTGTGGGGGTAGCAGCACTGGTACTGGGTACGGGTTCCTTAGCTGCAGGCGTGAAGCGTGTGTGTGTAGAGACTTAGCTTTCTCCCGGATAAGGATAGAGTCCACTACTACACCTTTCCGATGCTGGTCCTCTATCCACAAAAACAAGGCATTCTCCATCTTCACCATTGCCTTCTCCCTAACTTGGCTGACATGCTTAGCACTGTGTGGAGCACTGGCACTTACAGCATCACAGATATCTTTTCCCTTTTCTTGATGGTACATACAGTGCTTTCGTTCACGTTGTACAGTCGCCCAACAGCAGCGAACGACATTCCCTCCCTTAACTGATTCAACAACTCCACCTTCTCCTGCAGAGTCATCACTTTCTTCTGTTGCTTAGGGGTGGCTCCAGCTGGTGTCTTTGATGCTCTTTTAGGGGCCATGGTAAATGTGGGTAGCAAGCGTAGCAACTACAATTCTGATGTCAACACAAGCGTGGTTACAGCAAGACTGAGTGAGAGAGCGAGGTGGCGTGACGCGCTATGCGTGTGTGAGAGGTTGCGGGAGCGGGCGGTGTCCCGTGTTCGGTGCCGCGCACGAGGCCACGCGCGAGTTGAATGGCGCGCGATTTGAATGTACTTCAATTACTTCAATGTACAGAATATTCCTCCGGCGGGGCAATCCGCGTATTTGCGAATCCGTGAATGCTAAACCCGCGTATGTGAAGGGCAGACTGTATTGATAATAATAAATAAAAATAGCTGATCATTTCAGTATGTACAGTAATATATTACTGTAATTAGAGAAAAAAAAAGAATGGCAAATAAAAAGAGAAATACTTTGCAGTACCATATATGGTAATGACTCCGCGAAACCTAATCGAGCCGGCGGTGTCCCGTGTTGGTGCCGCTGACGAGGCCACGCCATGAGTTGAATGGCGCTAGATGAATGTACTTCAATTTCAATGTACATGATACCTTCCAAGGGGCAATCCGCGTGATTTGCGAATCCGGAATGCTAAACCAGCGTATGTGAAGGGCAGACTGTATTGATAATAATAAATAAAAATAGCTGATCATTTCAGTATGTACAGTAATATATTACTGTAATTAGAGAAAAAAAAAGAATGGCAAATAAAAAGAAAAAATACTTTGCAGTACCATATATGGTAATGACTCACGAGCTAATCTGGTTGTCTGGTCTCCTCCTTTGGTTAAGCCTCCTTAGTACTTCTTCCAGTAAGATGACACCCCCATTCCGGTAGCTGGTAGCAACGCACAACTCCAACATTTGCACACCAAGCTCATAGTAGAAGTCACCTACCCCCAGCATCTCACACCAAAATCCTGGAAAGGACAAAAACTGTTAAGCTGAAGATTATAAATGTGTTCTGAACACTCAATAGATATAATACTGTGCAGTCAACCCTCGCTTTACGCGGTCCCACTTTACGCCGTTCCAAGTTTACACGGTATCCTGCCGAACACGGAATGCTCACTTTCGGTGCGTGTAGCTCCCCTTTACGCGGAGAGCGGCTGGCGTCTCTCCGCCGCCATTTTTGGATGAAACCCTCCCGCCATCTCTCTCCGCCATGTTGTGATACGAGTAGGTTGTGCAGTGTATGTCTTTGTTATGCTATCGGTGGCGCTATACGTAGCGGACTGTGATTGAAAAGCATCTTTACCTCCCTCCCTGCTAGCTGTGATTGGTTTAACGTGTACTATGGCGTGCTCCGCCGCTGAGCGTTCAAGCCCCTTGACCTACCGCGTCAGTTACACCTCCGCTACACCGTATATCGGGTATCCATTGTTCCATAAGAATGGCTTCCACCGACCACCACCACCACCACAAAGAAACCTTGCATTACCTGGACCCAGCCGCCTCTAAGCCAAAGAAGACACGGCGTTCCTTAAGCTATGTAAATAAAAATATTCTCTGGGTAGTTACAGAGGTTTAAGAAGAGGAACAAGATCACCAATATCAACATTGGTGGTGAAGAAGCTAGTGCTGACCGTGTTGCGGCTAGGGAATTTTCTCCGTTTTTACGTGAGATTATGGAGGAAGGACAGTACACCGACAACCAAGTGTTTAACATGGACGAATCTGGTCTTTTTTGCAAAAAGCTACCTTCCAAGACCTTCGTTGTGAAGAATGCCAGCAAGTGTCGGGGCCGGAAGTTGCAGAAGGAGCACATCACCATCCTATTTACCACCAATGCCTCCGGTACCTGTAAGCTCAAGTTATCGGTGATCCACACAGCACGCAAGCCTCACGCCTACAAGAGCATGGACATGACCAAGCTAAATGTCCACTGGCTGACCGCACGTAAGGCGTGGATGTTCTCTACACTGTCCCTCTCCTGGTTTGATGACTGTTTCGTTCCCGATGTGAAGAAATTCTGTGAGCAACAGAATGTGCCATTCAAGATTTTGTTGCTGCTTGACAACGCACCAGGACACTCGCCCCTACTGTTAGATCATCACCCCCAACGTAAAAGTGGTCTTCCTTCCTCCCAACACTACGTCTATAATACAGCCCATGGACCAAGAATTGATCTGTAATGTAAAAGCTGCATTCTCTGCTAAAAAATTCAACCTCCTGAACAACTACACCAACACCAAAGAAGAGTTGCGTAACCTGAGTGACACCAACACCGATAGCAAGAGCGAAGACGACGAGGATCAACAGTTGGCAGAGCAAGAAGTACTTTTGAAACAATTCTGGAGAACATTCAACGTCAAGAAAGCTGTGGACTTCTTGGTGGAGGCATGGGATCAGCTGTCTGTAGCAACTGTTCGTCACGCACGGAGACATGTGTTGCAAGGCATTCCGGGTGTTAGACAGTGTAAATCTGTGACTGGTGAGGTTCAGACTGTTGCAGTAGCAGTGGACCTTGCCAGAGAAGCTGCGCAGAGTGTTACAGCTGCAGGCTTCTCCGAGACCACCAACAACGACATCCTGGAGGTGATAAGGGATCCTGATGTGACTACCGACGCGATGGTAGATGATGATGACGTCAGTGAAGAGGCAGGTGGTGCGTCATCCCAAGAAGAACGCAGCTTATCTCATAGTAATGTAAGGGGTGCCATCGAGTGTATCGAGAAAGTCAAGCTCCTCCTTTCCGACGACCCTGACGCAAACAGGTATGAAATCTTCACTACTCAGCTGTTGCAGACTATGGAGCCCTACATCAAGGTTTATCACGACAACATAAACACCAGCCATCAGCAAAGCATAACAGAGTTCTTCGCCCGCAACCCACCACAGCCAGCCCAAGCCAGTGATAGTGACAGAGGCAGAGACAGTGATGATGACTTTGAGGGATTTGTCAGGGAGGCACTAGTAAGTGTGGATGACAGCGATGAAGACTCACCTGAGGGCCAGTAGCCTGCCCTCTGCCTCGGAACCAGCCTACATTCCCCTACGCCGACCCATCTCTTCTACTAACGTAAGTGTTAACCCCAACCTTGTTTTTTTCTAACCTAACCTTCAGTTTATTATTCTCTTATTGATTATTCCCTTCTATATTATGTGTGGGTGAATACCATCATAAAGTTAAGATGTTATTTTTAGTAAAACGTACGTATTGTGTCGGGAAAAAGTGGAGTTTGGGGGTCGGCCCGGTCTCTATTTCAATTAAGGTAATCCCATAAGTTATGTTGTTCACTTTACGCGTTTCTCACTTTACGCGGGCCGCCGTGGGTTCAATTAACCGCGTAAAGTGAGGGTTCATTGTACAGTGATTTCAGTGTTGAGGTAACCTAGTCATTTCATGTTTAACTCAAATGTCAATAAATCCAGGAAAATTGCAGTGGCATAGATGACCTCATGCTGTGTTCTGGGCTTTTAGTTCAGTTTTGAAGGTCCAAAAATCTTTAAAAGAGCAGTTTTTCTCACTCCCTTTATTCTGGCTGTTCCCTAAACATAAAAATTATAAACATGTGAGACAATGTCCAGTAATTGTACAAGAATGAAGAGGTGAAAAGGAGATGGTACATTCCGTTAATGTTATCTCACTTGGTGCCCAGCAAATATGGCAAGATCATAAATATACTGTACAAGAAACAGCCACATATTGATGATTGATAAATGCTCTGACCAAAAATATGACAAATCAATCATAGAGCCTTTGCCATCTTGCCACATGTACAAATTAAAAAAGAAAATGATGGTATAAAAAGGGAGTGAATTTGGAATTTTTGAATATATGACTACAGTACTCCTGACCTTGACCACTTCACTCCTGCCGCCATTCACGACCTACTGCAAACACTACGACAAGCAGTTTCTGCATTCAAAGCTACTGCCCCATACCAGCCTTCCCATCGCCCTGAACACATCCCTCCTGCACTACTCAACGCCGAGTATGTCTGCGTCAGGTGCGATGCTCACCGCAACCCACTTCAACGCCCCTACGACAGACCTTTCCAGGTTTTTGCACGGTCAGCAAAGTTCCTGACGATCATTTGCAATGGCAGACACAACACGTCAGCATCAATCGAGTGAAGCCGGCCACCCTAACCCATGGGCCCCCAGCCCAACATTACCCCCAACAAACCACGCCTGCACCAGTCTGCCCACAATTGCCACTTGCAGCACCATCTTGTCCACAACAGTTCTAGGTGCCCTCCTTTCATTCTCAGGTACAGTCGTGAACAGAAGTCCTGTCGCCCCTTGTGCTGTTCCGTGAACCAAGAGATTCAGACTCATGAACCCGAAGCAGTAGACACTGGTGCATTATTCTGCCCATAAATGCTTCGGATTCATGAGTCTGAATCTCAGAGTTCGTGGAGCAGCAGAAGGGGCGACAGGACTTCTGTTCACGACTGTACCTACAGCTCCTGATGAGGATCCTGCACCTAGTCCTGTGGACCCAGACATTCCACCCAGTGCCCCCAAAGACTGTGCACCTGACGCCAAAAAAAAACACCACATTCCCCCCCCCCAGCAAACCAAGCCTGCGCCCCCCTTCACCTGTCTGGTCATCATTGCCGCCTGCAGCACCCTCTTTTCTCCATCAGGTACTTACTGCTCCTGACCCTGCTCCTGCATACGGCCCTATGGACCCAGACACCCCACCCGGCGTCCCTGAGGACTCTGCACCTACCGTCAGAGAACCACCACTGTCACCATCACCACCAGTCACTATCACCACCAGTCACCATCACCACCACTTCTCACTATCAAAACCAGTCACCATCACTGACCACCGCCACCACCAGACCAACAACAAGTATTATCATACCAACAACAGGTATACCATAAACTTGAAGTAAATTAACGTAAAATGCAAAAACGTAAGCATTGCTCAGTAATATTCGCACGGCAGGAATTTTACATGAAACATTTCACTCCCTAACTGTGGAAGTGAGTCGCCATCGCCCGGCCGCCATGTTGTTATTGTACCGAGCAGGACGCCAACGCCGGAAAGAAAGTTGCACGAAACAAAAACCTACTAAATTAACCTAACATTACCAAATCTAACGTTATTTAGGCTACTTAAAAGATGTGTTTATATTCCTTGGACTTTTCTCCAGAGCAAAATTATGAGTTTTTTTCTTTACCTTTTTCTCCATTCACTGGGCTAACAAGGGTCCCCACGCTAGTGTAGAAAACTTTCATAATAATATATTTAAACAAAGATAATACACTAGTTTGTTAAAAATTTCCATGACTGTCAAATAAGGAACAAGACGAACGGTGGCCAACTGTTACCACAGCAGCCCGCATGTGGTAACAGTAAGATTGTGCAACGCCGGCATCACTGACCGAACCCAACACGAGGCATCACTATTCATCTCTGCATACTTAAAATTCAATGTTTTGATGCCAACTTTACAAACTAAGTGCTAATTCAGTCATTCGTACCTACAGTAGAAATATTGTATTGTCCAGTGATAATGAAAATGAATGAAAGTAAGAATACCAAAGTGTAAAGCAGTGAGACAGACTTCTGGGAAATCAGTCAATGGACGAGATGGCTGGAAGGTCACTCAGGTCCGGAAACTTGAGGTATGTCAGTCATGGAACTCTGCCTCTCTAGCAGGTAGAGGGGCAACTAACAAACATTCTGTGCGACAATTAGTGGCAGATTTCTCTTCAATTTGTGTTGGTTATAACTATTTAGAATGAGTCAACCGCCACAAACAGTCTCCTTAGCACCAACCACAGCTTTGTTATATTCAACACTGACCAGAGGCGGCCATTTCTCCAATATGTGGTATTGGCAACACCACTGCAAGAATGAATCACCGTGTACATTCTAGTGCATCATCAGCGGTTAGTTCTTCATAATTATCTATGAAAAGAAAGGAGTTAGTGAAGGTAGTGGGGTCGAGGGACAGGCCAAGGACAAGAGCCTCATAAGAGTCTCCTATAGAGTCTTTAGTCGGTCTCCAGGTTACTAATGGAGCTGGTTTGTACACAAGTCGTCCCCCTAAGCATTCCGTCACATTCGCAAGAGATGACCCCCCGGTCGGAAACTTGACAAGTATATGCACGAGTGAATGAAGCGGTGAGAAAGATTCATGGGTCAAAAATCCTCACCTGCACAGAACATATGGTGACTCATACGAGGGAAATTTAGTGGTATTCGTTAGTAATTCCTCACACTTAGCAAGAGAAATATACAATTAAATGGTGTAAACAAATCTAAATACGTACGAGACAAAAGTGCCGCATGTTTTTTCTCTCTGGTTTTATCTAATATTAGGTTGTATGGCTAGTACGTTTGCCTCCAGTCTTGTTATACCAGTCGCTATTTCATGCCCCAGGTGTGAATATGTTTCTGATTTCACCACGGTTGGGGAAGTGACGGCTATATTGCTTCCTTGTGTAGAGTACCAAAGGCTTAGTATTCTGAGTACTGTACACACACCAGACACACAACAAGAAGTACAGGTTAAGCAATATGGCAAGGTTATAATATTTTAGTAGCACAACCTTGAATGGTTGAGTATTTGTCCCGGTTAATTATTATTATTATTATTATTATTATTACATAGGAAGCAGCAACAATGGCAGACATTATCCGGGTTACTTTCCTGGTAATGTGGGACCAACTTCTCAGAACATCCCCCCAACCCCTACTGCCTCTCTCCTGGGGTGAGTGAGAGAGGTCGCCCAGTACTGGGTCTGGTCATCACGCTGGCTGGATTCATGAAAGTTCGGAGGAAGATGAAGAGTACATGTACTCATAACTGACGCAAGAAGAAGATATTGAAGCCGCCCTCTCCCTGAATCATCTCAAATCTCGCATACACGCCACACAACGAGAAGCATTCGACAAAAAATGGACACCCCTGAAACAACAGGGTAGCGTCACACTATGCCACTATGACGCTGTAACCGGTGACGCCAACCACCACTACAAAGAGTATCAATCCCTGACTTGTTCTCAACACATTATGTACATGAGACTGCGCCTAGGGTACAGGTACCTATGGGAGTACATTGGCAACCCTGAGCCTGGCCGCACTGTTTGTAAACTTTGTGGCCAACCCAACTCTCACACCCTCTCTCACTACATCCTCACTTGCCCTATGACCTCCTCCTACAGGTCCCCAGCCGTTACCAACACCTCTTCCCTCCCTGACCAAATATCCCTCCTCCTAGTCACAGGCATGGCACTTGACATTATTAGGGACCTGCCACGCTTTGCTATAAACAGATGAAATGTACCGAGAATTTTCCCCCCACACACTCATCATTCTGTCATTTTATCTAACTTGCTGACAAAACCTATGACCCTTCAGGCTTCTACGCCTTTAATGCATGAGTCATAAAGGCAAGCATGAACTTAGCATGCTTCCCAGTTGGGCACTGTAAACGCTTCTGCGCTTCACCTTGCACAGGAAGTAAGGGGGTGCCCAATAAACTAGCCCCCTCCGGGGCAATCTGTAATCTGGCTTGATTCATGAAAGTTCGGAGGAAGATGAAGAGTACATGTATTCATAACTGAAGATATACAGTATATAAGAACAGACCTAAACAGCAAATAATTAAACTATAGTAAACTCAATAAACTCAATATTATACAAACACTAATTTTTATAAATGCCTTCACTTAACGCCATTCAAGAGGGGAAAAAATAAATTTACAAAAAATTCAGGATAAACAAAAATATTCTACACACCGTATGTACTAAACTCGGTCCAAAAAGTACCTTCAAGAATGTCAACACTTGTTATTATTATTCACTTTGTATCTGTATTTTTCTGGCTAAATAAACTGTTTCAATATCAAGAAGTAGTCTGATGAATTGCGAAATGAACACTGCGACTCCTGTTGTCTTGGTAGGATTGTCAAAAACCTTCGTCCGTTGTGTCATATTGTCTCACACACAAAATTATTTAATTGAGATATATTTTAGACCAAGTGTAGTACATGAACGTACAGTATGAGTCTGGATAATGTTGATGCTACTCTCAGAGATTTATTTGTGAGTACTTGTGCTACGTTAACCAATTATGTACTGTGCATAATTTCGTGGCGTGCTTTTACCTCACCAACCTAGACCCCGATTTTTTCCTCACTTTCCTCAACTGTCATGTTATGCCTCTCTGAGTCTGGGGGAGGATAGTACGTTTCCTGATTCTAGGGGAGGATAGTACATGTTTCCTGATTCTAGGGGAGGATAGTACATGTTTCCTGATTCTAGGGGAGGATAGTACATGTTTCCTGATTCTAGGGGAAGATAGTACGTTTCCTGATTCTAGGGGAGGATAGTACATATTTCCTGATTCTAGGGGAGGATAGTACATATTTCCTGATTCTAGGGGAAGATAGTACATGTTTCCTTATTCTAGGGGAGGATAGTACATGTTTCCTGATTCTAGGGGAGGATAGTACATATTTCCTGATTCTAGGGGAGGATAGTACATGTTTCCTGATTCTAGGGGAGGATAGTACATGTTTCCTGATTATAGGGGAGGATAGTACATGTTTCCTGAGTCTGGGGGAGGATAGTACATATTTCCTGAGTCTAGGGGAGGATAGTACATGTTTCCTGATTCTAGGGGAGGATAGTACATATTTCCTGATTCTAGGGGAGGATAGTACATGTTTCCTGATTCTAGGGGAGGATAGTACATATTTCCTGATTCTAGGGGAGGATAGTACATGTTTCCTGAGTCTGGGGGAGGATAGTACATATTTCCTGATTCTAGGGGAGGATAGTACATATTTCCTGATTCTAGGGGAGGATAGTACATATTTCCTGATTCTAGGGGAGGATAGTACATGTTTCCTGAGTCTGGGGGAGGATAGTACATATTTCCTGATTCTAGGGGAGGATAGTACATGTTTCCTGAGTCTGGGGGAGGATAGTACATGTTTCCTGATTCTAGGGGAGGATAGTACATATTTCCTGATTCTAGGGGAGGATAGTACATGTTTCCTGAGTCTGGGGGAGGATAGTACATATTTCCTGATTCTAGGGGAGGATAGTACATATTTCCTGATTCTAGGGGAGGATAGTACATATTTCCTGATTCTAGGGGAGGATAGTACATATTTCCTGATTCTAGGGGAGGATAGTACATGTTTCCTGAGTCTGGGGGAGGATAGCACATATTTCCTGAGTCTAGGGGAGGATAGTACATATTTCCTGATTCTAGGGGAGGATAGTACATATTTCCTGAGTCTAGGGGAGGATAGAACAATACATGTGGGTCAGATAGATATGGTCTTACTCCCTTATGAGACTGACTCACGTACGACTATTTAAGAATCACGTGAAGATCAGCCCCCTAATTTATTCCATTTTAAGATAAACCACCCTAACGCTAACCTAACCTAACCATCCTAACGCTAACCGAACCTAACCACCCTAACGCTAAACTAACCTAACCACCCGAATGTTAACCTAACCTAACATTAACCTAACCACCCGAATGTTAACCTAACCTAACATTAACCTAACCACCCTAACCACCAGATGAAATAGGCTGGGGGCTAATCTCCACGTGCTGCCTAATTAAGAATTGTAAGGTGAGGTGCTGGCCTGCTGGTTGGGTGGATGGAGCACACCTTGGTAACGGTAGCAACAGCAGCCACCATTACCCAACTCTGGTCACCACTACACATTCATTCATACCTATCTATCTGTCTTATCTCCTCGGTAGCCAGCCAGCCAACTATTCACCTCCCTGGAGGCAGCCACTGAGGTTGCCACACTACATAACACACGATCACGTTTTTCAGATATTAAAATGTTAAAATTAAGTCCCTCATTGCTGGTGGTATTAAGCGTTAAATTTACTCAGTTGAACATTGATATAAAGATGGCGGCGTTGTGTCTTCGATAAATAACATAAGTAAACAAATAAGCCAGTAGATGTGTTCTCTTATCCCGTTAAAGAGAAAAACGTAAGAGAGTTAAGTCATGTGGGGGGAGTGTGAGAGTCCAGCTGTAACACCAGACCCAAACAGTTGACTATATTATTAAATAAATAACTCATGGACGGAAGCTATAGTGCGTGTGTGTGAAATATGAGGTTTACAATACAACACTGTAGTTAAATTCCATAACAGCAATAACCACCACATCACCGTCAAGAATGTTGTCCTGGGAAGGAGGGACCAACACACAGACACCAGTCAGGGCAACAGTACAGCACCTTCCCCGACCCCTATAATACAGTAACAATCCTGTACTTCACCTGCCTAGCTACGGCCGTGACGTCACATATTTCTCCCGCCTAGAGAAAACGCGGTAGTGAGACACAGGAAATTCCAGGAACCCCCGCCCAGTGAGTCAGCCCCAGCGATTGGAAAGTCTCATATACAGCAACTGTTCGTCCTTGTTTCAACAATCTTCGGACGTCGCCGCCTTCTTTATACCCCACTTCGTTACTTCCAGCTACATTTCGAATATTAAAATTAGACAACAAAATGAGGAAATTCATGCAATTTTGACACGGTCAAAATGTAAATCAACATTTATTTAATACTAATAATACAAAAACATTGTTATTAATGTGAACGAAGTTTCTGGGAGGCGTTTTCGCCAATAAGATATTTTTTTTTTTTTTAGACGAAGGACTCAGTGGGTTAGGTCCTTACACGTTGAGAAGGTGTGCCAACCAGCAGCGGCGGCAATCAACACCCCTCAGTCCCAGAGCGGACGTCGTACCGAACGGACTTAGTGTATCGACCCGCTACCTATCTAGACTGACTGGACCAAACTTGATACTTCACCGCCAACACTGTGCCAAGTTATCATACATAAGTGAAACAATTACCAGAGAAAACTTTCCGTGCCCGAAAATAGTGAGTCATCCACAGGGAGTAGTAATACACGAACTTGTAAATTAACTAAAATACTGCCACAGTAATAAATGGCAGAGACTTGTATTCTGAAATCCAAACAAATTGAGAGGTTACGACCAAGCCTTCGGAGACCAATAGTCAGAAGAGTTATGTAGACAGTGATGAACAGTATTACACCAGCAATATAAAGTATTATATGTATTGCCAAAGCGCTATGTGAGTGTCCCTGAGGCGTACTACAAACATATCAACAGTACAAAGTATTACCATAATACAAGGTCAAGACCCAAGCTCCTCCAACTGACCCATGATGACCTACCCAAGAAATCTTCTCTCCCTTGTCCTTACCGGTCAGTTACAGTTATATGTACAGTGTTTCTTTACTAACTATTAAAATTACTCTACACTGTCATCATTAATCAAGGATTATTCTGCTGCCCATAAAGGTACTGTACACCTCAGCTATCATGACAGTATAACACATTTAATATATCAAACTTCACAGATATCACAAATGCAGTATATGTGTGTTAGAGGGGAGAGGGATACATTATCCAGCCGGGAAAATTCACGTAAACAATGAATTGTAGCGTCTTGTCTCTGTCGGAATTTTGCACATAACCATTAAATTCCTTTTCAACGAGACTCACAACCTTACTGATGCTAAAACTTCCAATGATTTATCTTCACTAATCTTTAATGTGTAGCTTACAATTCATCCATGACTGACAGGACAAAATGCACTAATATTACCACTGACATAACCAGTTGAGCGAGTGACGTCACCAAACACAACAACAGTACCATAAATAACCATGACTGTGTGGGGCTGGCCTCTGCTTCCACAACAAAGTGATCTTGTCAACACAGTGTCCTCCTCCTCCCGTGTCAACATAAATAAAGAAGCTTCGTCCACAAATAGTCGTGACGAACTGAGACGAAAAACTTCATCTCTTATACAGACGTTTATTTAACATGTGGTGGCTGAGATGGCAACACACAAATTATATTAAAGTCATCAAATTGTAATATACAGTTTTTAAATGACAGCTTAACAAGAATGTACATACATATTTAGCCAGTGTGTGTTTATGTGTGTCTCTAGTTACTGTGTACCTGTATGTGCTGTATGAAATGTATACGGATAACGCAACGATATATACATCTGGTTTCCTCCCTCACCCCCCACGTCCCGGCAGCACTACAGAGGCCTGGTGTGCGGGATTCCCAGCAGTGTTTATCAACGCGGTGCCACGGGGGCCACGCCCTTCACTATAGTGGCACTCTTTTCCCATTTACCTACACCCACGTTTACCACGGTGAGGCCAGCCACCTCTACCACAACACCACGCGCTCTTTAACTCTTGTACAGCAGCCTCAACTCTGGCATTGTCAAAATGTAATTCATTCATGTTCAAGAATGACTAAAACCAACGATGATAAGTAAATAAAATTAGGATCAGAAAAGGTAGAAGAATTCTACTGAAAATGGACAAACACCTTCATTATTCTCAGTACAAGTCACATAAAACAATTTCAAGGAAAGGTGACGTCACCCGGTAAACAGCAAAACCTGTTTTCTTGGCGGACCTCTGCGCGATGACGTCATATGGCTCTATACGCCAATGGCAAAGTTTCTCTGCAGGCAGCACTGACGTCATTGCACAGGTCCACTAGCAACTCTCTTCGAGCTAAATTGCTTACGTCACTTCCACTGCGGACCAATCACAGGACTTCCTGCCACGATTAGTTACGTCATTCCAATATGAGAGCCAATAAGAGACTTCCCAAGGTAAAAGGAGTGTTGTGACATTCGGTGTGCCAATGTACAGATATAAATGTGCTTTCAGAACACATTAAACAGTATAAACAATTGGCTAAAATGGTGGATCTTACCAAAACATCCGGGTGACGGGAGGATTGTGTAATCCTATGTACTAAATGTACATAGGAAGGTCCCGTTTGATATGGAACAAAGCGTGACAAAAAACTCTCCGAGTCCCATTTCAAGTCGTGAAGGAGTGGTGGTGGGTAAGGAAAGTTGGGGTGCGGTAAGTAGGAGAGGCCAACGTGAGTGGGCAGATGTAGGCGGGTGGCCGACATCAGTTTGTCTCAAGCGTGTAGTTCAAGATCGGTGTATATGATAATAACCTTCCTTCTACAACTTATACCAAATGATCCTTGACAGTAAATACAATAGTGTCCAGAACTTGAGCAGATCCAACTACAACAACCCATCTACCTGAGGCAGTACGGCATGATATACTGTACATGGTGATCCACGAGATAAAAACTGCGTGCACCTAACGTCTCCTTGTTACACTCCTAATAAGGTCCAAATTAATCAACTCTGGTTACTAAAACGAGGCCATTCCTTACGGACAGGTTATAATTGTGACAAGTTACCGTTTCTCTGAGTGTTGGTGGTGCCCGCGTGTTGTGGTGAAGACCCTGCAAATAGCAGCCGAGGGGCGTGGTGACCCTGGTGGTGCCTCACACAGACGTATCCTCACCATGACATTTTTCTACACTATCACGTGTATATTTATATTTCGCAGTTTTCGTTCATTAGCCTGGTATAACCTGTAAATTGTCCTATAACAAAAAATCAGTAAACTTGTAATATTTGAGGAACTAAAACGCACTGGTTTATGTGTAGTTGCTTTAAAGCGAGATTTGGACGGAGGTAATCACGGATTAAATTAGAAACCCGTGTGGCCCAATTGTTTCTCAGCGTCGGAACAAAACAGAATGTGGCGCCAATTCCTGGGCAGACAGGATGAGACGCTGCCTCAAGGCCACGTCTGTTTCACGGTGACAGCAGAGCCGTCCACTGGTCAATCAAAGTACACGCCACAATACTTAGTGCTTCTATCTATCGTTTCTGTCTTATGTTTTTTTCTACGGATAATTTCTAAACATTCTGTTCTCCCACGTACGTAAATAAACATGTACACAGTGAACTAGTGGAACAAAAACCACAATAACACATCTCACACAAGAAAGTAATATACAGTGGAATCTTTCCTTCAGTAGTGACCTAGACCAGCACGCCCACAGCCACACGTCTATCGGCAGTAAGAGGATACAATGCTTGTTTGGTGGGCTAATGTGAGTGTGGGATGGTGTGAACAAGGGTCCACTACTCTGATAAAACTATATTTCTACTGTGATAAGGAAGTGATAAAAGACCTCTTACTAATTACTACACTGGCGTAGTTAAATCAAATCTACGAGCGAGTAAACAATTACGATGATATTTCCGTATAGATAGAGTATACAGTATAAGAGTGCAGTAACCTCCTCTGACATGACGTCATGGGGCCAGGGTGATCCTCGCTAAGGAAAGGATAAATTTAGTAACGATCGGTTCCTGACTGCAGTGTTGCCTTCACTGATTGACAACAGCTCTGTGACTTCTAAGCCTCGACCTACGCAAACACTTAGATAAATAATGTTTGATGTGACCAAGTCCCCCAGCGATGCAGGTGCCGGATTTTCTTATCATAAACATTGTATAGGTCGGCGATTGATCAGTCTAGTGTTGGCGTTGAGCAGTGTGTTGCATCTAGTGTTGATGTTGAGCAGTGTGTTGCATCAACAGAGAAACGAGAGGACTCAGCACACAACTACACTTGGCCAAGCATAACGCGGCTGACTCCGTCCACCATTCTACGCTACTGTACCACCCAAGGTCACACTCATTACTTCTATCATTCTACCAAATCCTCCAGTTCTTCGCCAGTTCTTTGCATTGCAAAACAGAATATCACAAACTGGTGGAGTCCATACTAACCAACTGGTCAACTCTGGCGTCGAGTACAGATCCTTGTGGCTGTTAATAACTATACTGTACTGTACGCTGTTTGAGATGAACATTTATAGTGTCACCCTTGTTGGAACGACACTTGTCACCTACCAAACTACTAGTTACTTAATTATCTAATTCAAGTAATGAGTAAAGATAATCATGGGTAATGGTACGTGTGATAATGAATTAATGGTACTAGAATGCAGGTAGTGGATATAACTTTTCAACAGTACTCCAATAACATACTGTGGACGTCAGTGTCATGCACAATTGAGAATAATATATAGTAAAATAATATCAGGGAGCAGCCATAGTGAGCTGATGGTGCAGTGTGTAGGGCGTGGAGCCAAGCCAAGTCTAGCTCAATACTCAGCCTCCCTACGGTTTTTAAGCCAAGCACTGGGACGCATGACTCTCCCTGTCCTAAGTAATAACTAATGATACACTACACTCAAATTGGGTTGTGTACGTGTGGTTGGGGTTATTAATTTTCTTCTGTGACTCTTAATAACTTGTTAGGCTCAATGTACTGTACTATGAAGCATAAAAGGCCTGCCTCTCATTATACAATAAGGCCCAGGCCCTATCTAGGAGGCCTTGCCCGGCCCCAGTCACTTATAATATACAGTAATGAACTGTTCAACACGACGTCCAAAGTCTACAAATATACACCCAATTATATAATATGTCTTGATTCAGTAAATATTGTTGTATAAAACTTTCGTATTCCCTTGTTAGTTCGTAATTGTAATATTCCATCACAGACTGAAATACAGTAATAACATTAATGTTTACTTCTCAAATTTTCATTACCATAGGGTGGATTCTCCATTAACAGTTGTCTTGCTTATACGCCTAATATATAATTCCACAGAAGGGATGTAAAGCGCTGAAAAATAATGCCGATAATGAGCTTCATTCATTTCAAAACTGGGTTGTGTAAACTTTCTTTTTTGCTTACTCAATAGAGGTCCCATCCGGGCGTGACCTTTTCTATAATGGAGAGAGAACTCATCAACACACTAATGGCCCATCAACCAGTGAAGCACCCATACACACGTCAGAGGTGAAATGTATAATGAAGTGAAGTTTTCCTGCGGTGGACAGCATCATCCTTGAATGCGGTCCAAGATAAACCACAGTAACCAAAGCTGTTGCGAGACGCCCGCCACACCACACGCACACATACTCGTCAAGGTAACAATATCATGCAAGGAAATATTGTCACGTTGGCTGACACAATTAAAGGAGGCGTTCGTGGAGGGACTTAACAACCATACACACCAATGAAACAAACATGACCAACAATGAGGGTGGTGTTGGCCCCTAATAACATTTCCAAGCCATGTAAGAGTACATAGCTCTGGTAAACAAAGTTGGTGTCATATTCTTGATGCGAAACTCCCTACCAAATGTACTTTCAACTCCAGAGTTCTCCCCAAGTTAGTGAACGGACACGAATTCCTCTGAACGGATGGACAGGGGTGAACACTATATGCTAACCCATCCCAATATTTGATGGCGGTGGTATACAATTAT